GGCTCTTGATTGTTAGTATTTGGAAATAAGTACAGAAGAATACATCCAAGTTATTAATATAGGTTATCTGGTCAGAGATGGGAAGCAGGTTAGCAACCTCAGTAATGTGAAGAATGGTGAAGGCGAGAGGGAGACAAAAAAAAAAAAGGAAAATATTAAGTATTAAGCATCAGTGACAAGATCTCAATTATGTAAATTGTTTTCAGTATGTGTACAAATGACAAGAAATTAGTAAATATTATAAAAGTAGGTCTATAACTTCTGGTGTTCAGAGATACCCGTGGTCAAGTAAAAAAAAAAACACAAGTTCCTTAGGAATGATAGAACATGACCCTATTTCAGGTAAAAACAAATCAACAAAAGCTTTGTTATGTATGAATGCATGTCTGTAAGGAGTAAGATGTGGAAGGAGAAGGAACAGACTGTTACAGAAATAATGACCTGAGGGCAGTGGGAGTCTGGTGGAGTCATTTTCATTTTAGTCTTTATGCATTTTTGTATTGTATTCATGAGGCCCTGGTGGCGCAGTGGTTAACAGCTGTTAACCAAAAGGTCGTCAGTTGGAATCTACCAGGGGCTCTTTGGAAACCCTATGGGGCACTTCTACTCTGTCCTATAGGGTCGCTATGAGTCAGAATTGACTTGGCAGCATTTTTGTTTTTTGTTTTGTTTTTAATTTTGTATTATATTCATTCGCATGTTGGAAAATGATTGCTTTTGTAGTTGAAAAAAAATCAAAGAATGTTTAGAAAACAAAAATATCCTGCTATACTGTTAAGTACCTAACAGCCCCAGCCCTTCTAACCACGGCTGCCTGCACCTGCTAAATGTCGCATGGATGGGTGCATGATAAGACCTCGGGAACTGGACTCTAGCAGTGTTTCCCATTCCTCCACCACCCAGGAAGAGTGCCTCTCCGTGTCGTGCACTTTCCCCTTTGAATGACAGCTGCCACTTTATACTCCAGTATTGCTCTTCCACTGCGAGACCCTTGACCCTTCAGACTGTGTCAGGTTGGTCAGTTTGTAGGGGAAAATGGCGTGTCCAAAATGCGAGCTTGCCCCACCAGGGTCTTTGTGTGTCTGCCTTCTCCAGAGTCCTGCAGAAGGACTTCTACCTCCTATGAAGATGAGGCCTGCCCTGTAGTGTCTGGCAGGGCTTTTTCCCATATTCCCTTCACCTGGAACTTCGAGAAGAGGTACCCTAATGCCCTCTTTGTTAGTACTTTGTTAATAGCGGTGAGGCAGCTCAGCTGTAATTGCAAATTCCCATGTCCCATCCAAAGCAATTTGATTCCTGAGTATTCCATCTGGCGAGGTCCACGTGTCGCCATTTATGTTGGTGAAAAAATGTATTTACAAGGAAGAAGTCACTGGTCTTGCAAATTCTATCATGTGATCTCCGGCATCGTTTGTTTCTATCACCAAGGCCATATTTTCTAACTACCAATCCTTCTTCTTTGTTTCCAACTTTTGCCTTCCAATCACCAGTAATTATCAATGCATTCTGATTGCATGTTCGATCAATTTCATACTGCAGAAGTTGGTAAAAATCTTCAATTTCCTTGTCTTTAGCCTTAGCGGTTGATGCATAATTTGAATAATAGTCCTATTAACTGGTCTTCCTTGTAGACTTAAGGATATTATCCTATCACTGACAGCGTTATACTTTTAGATCTTGAAATTTTTTTTTTTGATAATGAATGCAACTCCACTCCTCTTCAATTTGTCATTCCCAGCATAGTAGACCACACGATTGTCCAGTTCAAAACGGCCAATACCAGTCCATTCCAGCTCACTAACGCTTAGGATATCGATGTTTATGCGTTCCATTTCACTTTTGATGATTTCCAATTTTCCTAGATTCATACTCTGTACATTCCATGTTCCAATTATTAATGGATGTTTGCAGCTGTTTCTTCTCATTTTGAGCGTGCCACATTAGCAAGTAAAGGTCCCAAAAGCTTGACTCCATCCACTTCATTAAGATTGTCTCTGCTTTGAGGCGGCAGCTCTTCCGCAATGGTATTTTGAGTACCTTCCAACCTGAGAGACTTACGTTCTGGCACTATATCAGACAAAGTTTTGCTGCTATTCTTAAGGTTTTCACTGACTAATTCTTTTCAGAAGTAGACCACCGGGTCCTTCTTCCTAGTCTGTCTTAGCCTGGAAGCTTAGCTGAAACCTGTCCACCATGGGCGACCCTGCTGGTGTTTGAATACCGGTGGCATAGCTTCCAGCATCACAGCAACATGCAAGCCCCCACATTATGACAAACTGACAGACACTTATACCAAATGAGATATTTCGACAAATGGCTGCAGTGCTGGAAGTGCTCACTCATCTATGCCAAGACTTTTGGAAGACAGCTACCTGGCCAACCAACTGGAAGAGATCCATATTTATGCCTATTCCCAAGAAAGGTGATCCAACTGAATGCGGAAATTATTGAACAATATCGTTAATATCACACACAAGTAAAATTTGGCTGAAGATCACTCAATAGCAGCTGCAGCACTAAATTGAGCAGGAACTGCCAGAAATTCAAGCCAAATTCAGAAGAGGATGTGGAATGAGGGATATCATTGCTGATGTCAGATGAATCCTGGCTGAAAACAGAATACCAGGAAGATATTTACCTGTGTTTTATTGACTATGTGAAGGCATTTGACTGTGTGGATCATAACAAATCATGGATATCATTGTGAAGAATGGGAGTTCCAGAACACTTAATTGTGCACATGAGGAACCTGTACATAGATCAAAAGTTAGTCATTTGAACAGAACAACAGGATACTGCATGGTTTAAAGTTAGGAAAGGTGTGCATCAGGGTTGTATCCTTTCACCATACCTATTCAATCTGTATGCTGAGCAAATAATCTGAGACGCTGGACTACATGAAGAAGAATGGGGCATCAGGATTGGAGGAAGACTCATTAACAACCTGCGTTATGCAGATGACACAACCTTGCTTGCCTAAAGTGAGGAAGACTTAAAGCACATTTTGATGAAGAACAAAGACCAGAGCTTTCAGTATGGATTGCACCTCAACATAAAGAAAACAAAAATCCTCACAACCGGACCAATAAGCAACATCATGATAAATGGAGGAAAGATTGAAGTTGTCAAGGATTTCATTTTACTTGGATCCACTAATCAACACCCATGGAAGCAGCAGTCAAGAGATCCAAAGATGCATTGCGTTGGGCAAATCTTCTGCAAAAGACCTCTTTAAAGTGCTAAAAAGCAAAGATGTCACCTTGAAGACTAGGGTACGCCTGATCCAACCATGGTGTTTTCAATCACCTCATATGCATGTGAAAGCTGGACGATGAATAAGGAAGATGGAAGAAGAATTGATGTCTTTGAATTGCAGTGTTGGCAAAGAATATTGAATATACCATGGACTGCCAAAAGAACAAACAAATCTGTCTTGGAAGAAGTACAACAAAAATGCTCCATAGAAGCAAGGATGGTGAGACTATGTCTCACATATTTTGGACATGTTATCAGGGGGGGACCAGTCCCCGCAGAAGGACATCATGCTTGTTAAAGTAGAAGGTCAGGGAAAAAGAGGAAGACCCTCAACGAGATGAATCAACACAGTGGCTGCAACAATGGGCTCAAGCATAACAACAATTGGGAGGATGGCGTAGGACCGGGCAATATTTCGTTCTGTTCCACATAGGTTCGCTGTGAGTCAGAATCGACTAGATGACACCTAACAACAATAACAACAACATGCACAGCAAATGGGGTTCCAAATGCTTCCTTCCTTGAGTAGTGGGTGGGGACACCAAGGGCCTCTTAACCATGTCCTTCAATGTAAACCTGCATTTATGAAGTTCTCTGTTTTCTAAAGTTTCCATTCAGATACTCTAAGTTCTTGGGATACGTATGCAAATGTCCTTCCTGAACTGCCAGGCCTACTAGCCTGCAGGTCTTGTTGTTGTTGTTGCTATGTGCCTTGGAGTTGATTCCAACTCATAGCCACCCTATAGGACAGAGTAGAAATGCCCCATAGGGTTTCCTAGGATGAAATCTTTACAGGCGCAGATTGCGAGGTTTTTTTCTCCTATGGAGCTATTGGTGGGTTCAAACCACCAACCTTTCAGTTAGTAGCCAAGTACTTAATCATTGCACTACTAGGGCTCTTTCAGCCTGAAATTCATACCCACCAGAAAGCAAATTCCATTTGTGTTTACAGCCTCAAGTTATAGGAGAGAGTATGTGAGAGATGGATGCTAACTCTTTACCTAGATAATAAGAAAGTGATGTCAGCTACATTGTTCTCTGTCTTAATGGGGCAGGGAAAAGAGTGTAAGAGTGAAGAGGGAGACTATGCCTACAATTTTCTTCTTCCCTCTCCTAAAACATTAAGCAGTAGCCATGGATTCCTCATGATTTCCTTTCTACGGTGACTTTTCCTGACCCATGTTATAAATCATAGTTTGCCAAATTTGGGCAGCATAGGGGTACAAGGAAGTTATTAACACTAGGGTGGTCTGGAGGTAAATATGTTCCATTTTTTATTAACTACAAGTTAAGTATTTGCTTTGTGAATTATCTGCGACCTATTTGAAATACTGATCCACTTTCTTTCTTCTGTGCCCTTGAGCCCCTTCTCCCACAAGGTGCTAAATGTGTTCAAGAAACATAAACTAATTTTCATATAAACCTAGGGGGGAAATAATATGGAAAGTAAATATATAGCCAAGATATTCATACAATATGTTCCTAAATCAAATACAAATTATTTTGTATCATCAGTTCTTTAGGATGATTCAGGACAGTGTTATCCTGTATTTAGGAAGTTTCATCAGTAATTGAGTGTCTCCTTTTAGCACTGGGTGAGTCGCTGTGAGTTGGAATTGACTCGACAGCAATGGGTTTGGTTTGGTTTTTGGTTTATTTTGTTTCGTTTACTCCTAGAAGTCCAACCACATCTGTAGTCACTCACTATCTCAATCTCTCTCTCACCCCTGTTACCTTGCTCACAGGTGTACCATCGATGATCGTGTCACCCGGGTCGCCTGGCTAAACCGCAGTACAATCCTCTATGCTGGGAATGACAAGTGGTCCATAGACCCTCGTGTGATCATCCTGGTCAACACACCAACCCAGTATAGTATCATGATCCAAAATGTGGATGTGTATGATGAAGGACCATATACCTGCTCTGTGCAGACAGACAATCATCCCAAAACATCCAGGGTCCACCTCATAGTGCAAGGTGAGTCACAACTGGACTTGGGGTTTGACGTTCCTCTAATGAAGAAGGGAAAGGGTAATATGAATTGCTTCTACGAATGTATGAAGGCACAAAAATCCATTTTCCTCTGTTGAATCAGAAACTAAATGCACCTCCTGGATTTTTTCCCATCTGATTGGTTCTAAACTAGGTATTGAATATATTCACAAAGTTTCTCAATTTTATCACTAGATCTTTTGTTCCCATTAATAAGTCATTTTGTGAGTACTAGTTGCACTCTCTTAAGCTTAGCACTTTAGTATTGGGTGAAGATATATTCAACAATAGATAATGTGCTACTCTCAGTGTCTTTTAATTATCTTTCAGAGGCTTATTTCATAACAAAAGGTTCATAATATTGATGCTAGATTATGTGACTTGTGTCTATTTTTTGAATAGTTGATGTGCAGTGTGTATTCCAGAAGGGTTCTGGAGTGCTGCTTAGCTCAGTCCCTCCTGGCATTGCTGGACATGTTTATCCACACTCTCACAGTCCTCAATGGAGCCCAGACCTTGAGGTACGTTAGCCAAAATGAATGTACATTGGAAATAAATCTATGGAATAAAAAAAGAAGGGGTACAGAAACCCTAACATCCTGATTCAATCTCCTTTAAAAAATCTGAATCAGTATAACCCAGGCATAGTATCACACACATGTTTTTAACAGGTTTTAGTTTAAATTTCACTTTGTAGAAAAAAAAGGAGTTGAAGAAATGCAAGAACCTCAGATATCAGCTATTAAATATTAAGAATTAAAACACATGTATAGATAGCAGTTTTGAGTGCATGAGAACCATTTTAAAGCAAGGCAGCAATCCAAATATGAATTTATTTTGAACTACCCCCACCATATAAAACAATTTCTGTAAGCTATTGATTCATGGTAGGAATGAAGTTCTAAGCAACTACTTTCCATTGCCCAATGACACATCCTTCCTTTACCAAATACAAGGTTTAGGTAGACTTTTCTCAAAGCCTCTGAAGCTGATGTCATGGGACATATACTTCGCACTCAGAAAGAACCCATGTGTGTGATTTAGTCTTTAAACCCGGGTGGCGTAGTGGTTAAAAGCTACGTCTGCTAATCAAATGGTTGGTATTCTGAATCCACCAGGTGCTCCTTGGAAACTCTATGGGGCAGTTCTACTCTGTCCTAGAGGGTTGCTATGAGTCGGAATGGACTTTACAGCAATGGGTTTTGGTTTATCTGCCTTTTACCAGATCCTACTGGCTATATATTAAACAGATTTTGTTTTAGTTTGTGAAACAGGTATTGCATCATACACATGATTCCCCCAACCCTGCCTTTTAGAAATGTATTATTTTTCTCATTTCCCTTGGTTTCATGGAGAGCCTTTGAAGGACTAAGTGTCTTTTCATGCTTCAGTTATTTGTACAGTTTGGGTTGGCAGTTCTTTTCTTTTGGCTAGAGCAGCTCTTTGTGAGCATAGCATTCAGTTCTCTGCCTCTTAGGCTTACAGATGAGGGATTTCACTCTCAACAAGTAGGACATTTGTAATGGTGTGTGCTGGGCCAGAGATTTATCTGCTGTAGCTTCTGCGTCTCTGTAGCCTTGGTGCTGCTATGTTGCTCGAAGCTTTGCCTCGGATAAGGTTTAGAGCATATCTGTGTCCCTGACGTGTTTGCAGAAGCCCACACCAGCCTATCATATGACAGATGTCTATGAACCGTGCTGTTTTCCATTCTCCATGTATGTCCCACCCAGGGTTATGACTTGGTGACAATCACTGCTTTAGAGCTACAGGATTGCCTGCCATCTGTAGTAGGGACAACTGTCAGTGTCTCTTGCTTCCTCTCAGAGGATGGTAGAGGCACTTAGAGAGATCAGTCATCTGAGACAATCTGGGATGTCTATTGAAAGTTTCTGGGGGTGTAAAACACAAGGGGGTCTGAGTTCTCACACTCCCGCCTGCCACTTGGGCTTGGTTCCAGAAGAGCTGAACACTCTCAGCATTTGAAGTGACACCTTAGTGGCACCTCCATGACCTTGACAGTAAAGTTATCCTCAAATTCAGGAAATGCGGTACTGAAATAAAAAAGAACTGTCAGACAGTGTACAGAAAAAGATTCAAACAGAACAGGGCCATCACTTTTCAGGAAGTAAGACAGATTGTGTGAGCATGCTGAAGTCCTTATGGACCATAAAGGGCTGTGGGTGCAGAGCCTCAGGGAATGGTATGCTTTCTGACGTACATTGAATGATTCCTTGGGTTGAATGTGGAAGTCTGTGAAGTCTCCTTGTGGGCGTCACAGCTTTGGGTCAGAATCTGAAAGCTGGGAGATGCAGAACAGTGGAGCCTTCAGTGCTAGTTTGGTTCCTCACCATCCTCCTGTTTTAGGCCAAGATGCTCTTGCAGCTGTGGTTCATCTGAGGTGGCCTGTGGAATTCAAAAGAGCAGGGAGGGAGAAGGTGGAAAGGGACACCTTCTGTTGGAACACTTGGCAGATTGGTCTTTGTATTTACAGAAAAGTGAAAGAAAAGGAACTCAGGAGATGGGTTCTCTTCTGCCTTAGTTAACAATGGGGTGGCTTGTTTTTTCTTTGGAAATGGGTGGAATGTCCACTGGTTGAAGCAGAGACTCCACTGCTCAATTAGAAAGAAGCCCGAGAGTCTTCCTTCTTCCCAGCAGCTATCGGCTTTTGTCCAGTCTATAGATTAATTTTTCAGAGTTAGCGTTAGTTCAGGTTAGATAAAGATAATGAAAGTTTCCTAATCCTCTTAAAGAAGATTTATCTGTCTGAGTAGGAAGCTTTTGGAATACAATAAGACATGTATAAAACTAAGGCCTAATCTTTCCTTTAATTTCAAACTGCTGATGGGTATTGATTTTGCAATGAGAAAAATCTGAAAAATTTCCAAGCTGCAACATTTCTACTAAAAAAAAAAAAAATGCATTTATTTATCTTCTGTCCATTTGAGAATGTTAGTATCTCATTACCTCTTCCAACCAGGTGCCATTAGCAGAAGGAAAAGAAATCCCAAGGGTGTCCCCGGCTTTGTTGCTCTCTGCTCCTGCATTGGGTGGAACTGAGAGATGCTTTGCCACAAACCTCAGAGCCTGTCCTCTACTGCGATAAGGTGGGATGTAATTAATTTCTAATCCCTCCTCTTTGAGAAAAGAAGCTACATTCATTAAAATATTATCACTGATACCAGAGATACATCTTTGCCACTTAGGGGATAATTTCAAGGCACCATGTGAGAGTCTGTGACAGTGTGCTCGACACTGTAGACTGAGGTGTTAAGGGAATTCAGAGCAACAGAAAGTGTCACTGTCAGGTCAGAATAGTCAGGGTGGGAAAATCAATCTGCAGTAGCTGATGAGCTGAAATGGAAAGAAGTTGGAGGTACAAATGCAGGCACAAGGTGATTCCGAGTACCCAAAACGTGCTGAGAGTGGACTATGGATACAATCTGTGGAAATGGAGAGGGTGAATCCAAAAGAGGATGTCCAAGAGAAATTGAAAGGGTTATTACTAATGCCTCAAAAGAGAAAGAATTAAAAGAATTACACCCATATTCTGGAGTTTGGGAAATATGTTGTTATAGTTGCTGGTAATCGGGGAGTTAGGATTGAGTTCCACTCAGAAGAAAAAAGCATTAGGCTTGCTAGATTTAGGGATAAAGAACATGCAAACATTCTGCAGATATTATAGAACTAGAGAGCAGATGTAACTTAAGACCAGAAGGGGTGTATTTGAGATTCAGCATGGATTTACTAGCTCGAGAGTAGGTAAGTTGTCTATTAATTATTCATAGAGAACAGAAGGAGCCATAACTTATTTAATCTATACCCAGCACTTAGCAGAGTGTCAGAGGCATAGTAGGCACTCAGCAAATGTTTGTTAAATGAATGGAAGAAGGAAATGATACAGCAACTGCAGTGGCATATTACTGCGGTGATCATAATGCCTCTTCAAGTAGATGGGGCGGGAATAAGTCAGGCATTATCTAGTTGATTTGAAGTAGGGAAGACATTCACTGGGAAAAGTTCCCAGGAGGGAAGAGGATCTTCAATGTGGCAAGCTAAGGAATATATTCTAGCGTGAATTGCATGCATTTGTTTAGTACTTTATGGGGATGGTCCCAGTTTTGTCGCCTTTGACCTTCACAAGTCCTTTGAGGCTACAGTTTAGTGACTATGATTTCCACTTTGCAAATTAGATAACTGCAGCTCATGGAGGTTAAGAGACCTGCCTGGGTCCTCAGTCAGTACACGGCAGAGCTGAGTCTTGAGCCTTGGTCATATGACTCCAAGATTTTGTCTTTCCAGCATACCTCATTGCCTCCAGATGATATGACTTAAGTCTAAAATTATTCTTCTGATTGATGTATATGGGAATTGTCCAGCTTTTTTTTTTTCTCTCTCTCTTTTGTTTTCTTTTTTCCTGCTATTTATATTGCATTGTACCAGCAGAGACTGAGGACAAAACTCAAGAAATAAAACTAGCAATGGAGGAGGAAAAACAAAGCTACCATAAATGGTATACAAAGGCTGAGAGAGAAGCAGACAGAAAGATAATAATTTACTAGTAACTCATCCCCACAGGGATAGACATTTCAAATGTTACTACTTTTTACTGTGGAAGTACTCAAAACTCTGGCCCCTTTGAGAATCCAAGACCTAATTGTCATTGACACTTTAGCATTCTGAAACTACATAAAGATCTTTGTGTGCTTGTGATTACTGTTGTTAGGGATAAATGAGTTAGGAAGATCTGGTGTGTATATGATCCATCTGCTGCTCTCTCGACTAGTTCAAAAATCTGTCTACCACTAGGTATCTTATTTCATGGAATGAACTCTTCTTGCTAAGCCCACATTTATACAGAAAGATAGAATTTCTCACATTTGAGACTCCACAGTAAACAAGCCTGTGCAATTTCAATGCATGCAAAGACTTTTGTTCTTTTAGCCTGGAGTCCATTCAGGTGAGACTGGTTGGTACCTGAAGTTTAG